GCTGCAGCTGAGTTAAAATATTTGAGTCACTTTAAAACACTCGGCAGCTCTGTTGATCCAAACATCTGAGAGTTTGCAGTTCTTCTGTGGATTCAGGTTGTATTTATAGTTTAAAAGGGAACTCTTGATCCTATTTAAATGAAACACTACATTTCCTGTAAAACCTCTGAAGTCGTGACTCTTATCTCTGACTGAAGAGTATTTCAGATGTCGGAGGAAAAAAGAAGAGCTGATGTATGTCGGTGCTTCAGCTGGAAATTAGTTTGAGAATTGTTCAGTTCAAAGAGCGGAGGGGTTGTGAGGACTCTTCATCTATGGTGGATGCATACGAGCATGAATACACAGCAAACATCCATCAGCCTGTATATTCAGACCTCAGCGAGACTCTCAATGACGTCAAGCATCTCGTCTGAGTCCTCCATGTGGTGGTCGCGCACTTCAAAACAGCATCTACATGTATATATAAAGTGTTTAGTATCAAAGCATCATTCAATGTTTTAGGGTTTTCTACCATCAACTTACAGTTATTTTTAACTCCCTGATGCCCCCAAACTTGCTGTTAAAAAGGCATCTTTTCTTTTAAAGAGATGCTAAAATGACACCATTCATCAGACAGAAAATGTAAAAGCAGAAGCTCTAACTGTCTAAGAACAGAAACCATCAGTGGATGGTCTCTGAACTCATCATGTGATGTTCATCAGAGGAAACAAATCTAAGCTCAAAACGGTGATATTTAACTAAAACGTCTTCATCTGTGATCATTGTTTGTCAAGCTGAGCACATTTTAAGGGGTTTATAGGGTGTTTTTTCTATTTAAACTGCATTTTTAGTGGCATTTTCTTTGAATCTGAACATGTTAATAAATCCCTGAGATTTCTGTCCGTTGATAAATGATATTTCTGTCCAGCTCTGACCGACATCAAGCTGTGGGCGATCGACCGACAGGGCTTCCAGACCATCATGATGAGAACTGGTCTCATCAAACACTCCCAGTACACAGACTTCCTCCGCAGGTAAACAGATCACCTTCAGATCGTCACTATCATGTAAAAAAATCTGGAGGATCTGGCAGCGAGGGGCCAGAAAACAGTATGTTATAAAACACTGCAATACTTTAACATTCAAGACTGGAAACGACTGAAAAAAAAAAAGTTAACGAGTAAACTACAACTTGTTTCCTGTGATTTTACTAGTAAACATCTGTACTTTACCAAAACAGGGGAAATGTGGAAAACAGCAGTAAATATATTAAAAACAATGTCAGTAGAAATGTCAGTTTTTACAGTTTGTCTTCAACATCTAACCACATGAAAATAACTTACGTCTCTCCATAAACTCAGCGTTCCGTCCTTCCAGTCGCTGGCTGAAGACGTTCTCAGTAAACTGGCCGACGCCTTGGAGGAGGTGATTCTACGTCTGTTCTAAAACACTTTATTTTGAAAATCTGACCAACCATCAGTCCAGTGATCTGAGGAGTGTTTTAACACGATTCACGTCTTTGTGTCTCAGACTCACTACAGCGACGGCAACTACATCATCCGCCAGGGCGCCACCGGAGACACCTTCTTCATCATCAGCGAAGGACAGGTGAGGAGGAGGAGGAGGCAGGTGCAGGGAGGAAGCTAACAGGAAGTGATGATGGAGTAGGGAGGACGCTAACAAGAAGTGATGATGGAGTAGGGAGGACGCTAACAGGAAGTATTAACAGACGAGGCAGGTGTAGGGAGGATGCTAACAGGAAGTGATGACAGAGGAGGCAGGTGCAGTGAGGATGCTAACAGGAAGTGATGACAGAGGAGGCAGGTGTAGGGAGGATGGCAACAGGAAGTGATGACAGAGGAGGCAGGTGTAGGGAGGAAGCT